GGGGGGGTTTCTTTTTGCGCCCCCTGGGGGAGGTCACAAAAAAAAAAAAAAAAAGACTTGCGAGCAGGGCCGTGCATAGACGGACGAGGGCGTGCTTTTTTTCTCTCTCTGGGGTGGGAGGTGGGATTTGGGGGGGGCGGGGAGCCGGGGTGGAGGGCTGGCACTTCTCCCCCGGGGGCACCCCCAAAGGATGTGAGCTTTTGCCGTGCACTTTAAAGAACGGCCCTTCTGCTGTGTCAAGGTACGAACGAGCACATCCATGCTTCCTTATTCGCACGCAACATATGGATTATTATCGTCTTTGAATAAGAATTCGTTTGGTTTTATTAATTTGCGTTTGGCGTGCACACAAAGCCAACAATGGTGCCCGCTCTCTCGTAGCCTCTTCTTTGTCACTTTTTGTGTGTGTCTGGGTGTGTGTGTGTGTGTGTTACCTTTACTTTTTTGCTGCTTTTTTTTTAAAGAGCTTTTCCGTGTTTTCAAATGAATTCTTCTCACAAGATCTGCATTGGAAATTTACAGGATTTAATGGAAGTCCATTAATTTGTGGGGGGAGAGGCCTATCCTAGCCATGGAATGCCAGGAAATATTTTCTGATTTCCATTTTTTTAGGTGGCATAATGTTGATTTTCATCATTTATGCTTCTCGCAGGTGTGGAGACTATCGAGGACTCCAGTCCATGGATTTATTAGCTTTAATACAACATTTTTGTAAGTTTACCCTTTTTTTTCTTTTTAAATAACGTTTTCTGTGTCTGTGGCATACGTTGCAGGAGATGACAGAGTTAAACGTTCAAACTAAAAACATCCTTCATCACTCAGAATTGAATGGTTTATTTATGATTGGCATGTTTTTCAATGATTTTGAAAGTTATCAAGGGGAATAGTCAACCATTTATGACATTGAGGGACACAAACTATTTTTCCCCCGCATTGTTATGACACATGATGAGCAGTTATGGCTTTAAATTTGGACAGCACTGACTTTTTGTTGTTCCAAGTATATATTAAATAGCTTTGATGTTTTATTCTTCTTGATTTTTGTGTGGGAATCGTTTTAACTTTTTACAAGTTTGGATTTGTTTTTAATCGCGCTTGCTTCTTGCAATTTTCACAAAAAGTGTTAGTTTTGTACTTTTTCAAAATATGCAGCGAATCATTTTTAACTTTTTTGAATTTATCTTTCATGCCACAGCTAAAATTGCCTTTTTTTTACACTCTTAATATTAAATAAAATAGGATAAAATGTCACCTGCTGTCCTGATTTTAGAATGTTTTAGTCAATTATGAAAAGATTGTCCGTTGATTTACTTTTTTCCTTTGCTGACCTGTGTAACAAAAACCACCAAATGGTCGCACTTATTTATTTATGAAGCCGATTTTAAATTATCCACTTATTTTTTTTCCTATAATTAAATGACGTTTTTTTTTCTGGGCGTTAATCATTATGATCACCAACCAACAAAAATGCACTTGAGAGTTTAAAAGAAAAAAAGTGGAGACCACCAAAAGTGATGAAATTGCATCTTTGATCGTGCAAACTAAAACTGGATCATTAGTACCATTAATTGCTGAACGGCCATCTTTTTGTGGGTTCTTTAATTATTATCGATGCTAATAATTACAATGAGGCATGTACAGTGGGAAGCCGGTTGAAAGGAGGGTGGTGTCACTATTTGTTCCTATCAGTGTGTGTGTGTGTGTATGTGTGTGCGCGCGTTTGTGTTTTCCAGCGTGATAATGTTGATCTCAGCACATGCCTGTTGGCCAGTGGAGCGAACAGGTGAGCGGGCGAACAAGCATTACTCGCCATACAGAAAGAAAGAAAGAGAGAGAGAGAGAGGGACGGTTTAGTACAGTAGATGAAATGAGCAGCAGCCTCCATGCGTTGATGAGGTTTACTATGAGACACTCAATCGGAATAAACTGCGTGCGTGTGTGTCTTTGAAAACGTCAGTATTTTTTTTTTTAATCGAGAAAAAAAAACAAACCCCTAATTCAATTCTTCAAAAAAAAGAAGATGCAAACTCTTTTATGCCACCTCAAGTTCACTGTCAAACTAAACATAAAACAAAGAGAATTACATGACTATTTAAAACAACCATACTACTCTGCCTTCTGCTAGCTACGTGCTAACACAATGCTACACTGACAAATCCTTGGTGTGGTTTAAAAAACAAAAACAAAAACAACTGGACAAACAACTGCCATTGAGTAAGATTGTAAGATCTTATTTTTGTTCCCTTACATCCAGAAGATAGAAGTACAGTAGATGTTGCTCATAAGAGCCTAGATTGTAGGGGTTTCAATGGTCATGTAGACCTATTGGAGGTAAAAACCGTTCAGACAAAAAGTTTCTAACCAAATTTGAGGAAATGAGTTCCACTCCCATGGATCCAGAAGATTGAAGTCGGCCTCCTTGTAGCTCATAAGATCCTACCTAGACTGCAGTGGTTTTGCATGTCACATAGACGTATCGCTGGGAGAAACCATTCAGTCTAAATGTCATCACCAAATTTAAGGAACCCGAGTTTTACTCCCATGGATCCAAAAGACCTCACGTTAGGCTTGCGTAGGATGCGGTCCACAAATTTATTCTCAGTGTTGCGAAAGCCTCGATGGAGGTAAAAATTCTTTGGACCACTATCGAATTTCATCAGCTGAGGTTGTAGGATCTTAATTTGTTTTCTTGCTCCAAAAGAGAAATTTTTGAGGTACTGTGATGCTTGACGACAGTGTCTATCGACAGATTTCAGAGGTGACAAAGTCTTGGCAGATAAAAATCCATTTGGACTCGTGTCAAATTTCATCCGATGGACTAGGGTCCAATTTAAGGGAAAGTTATTCTTGGTTTTCAGTTCCAGACTGACAGTTGATCCCTTGTCGCTACTAAGCTCCTTAATGGTAATATTCCACTCATTGATTTCACAGGTGGCAAAGCCTTGTGAACCTTTCAAGTGAACCGGTCTCTCCATCTTCTGCCCATCTTCCAGACACCACGTTGTCCACAGGCTGGCGATCTTGAAGGATGGGTGACTGGAGCTTTCTGGGGCGTCTGCTAGAGAACGCCCAGGAGCACTCCACGGTGATCGGCAAGGTGTGGCTGACAGTCTTGTTCATCTTCCGGATCCTGGTGCTGGGCGCCGCCGCCGAAGAGGTTTGGGGAGACGAGCAATCCGACTTCACCTGCAACACGCAGCAGCCCGGCTGCGAGAACGTGTGCTACGACCAGGCCTTCCCCATCTCGCACATCCGCTTCTGGGTCCTGCAGATCATCTTCGTGTCCACGCCCACGCTCATCTACCTGGGACACGTTCTGCACATTGTACGCATGGAGGAGAAGCGCAAGGAAAAGGAGGAGGAACTGCGAAAAGCCAACAAATTCCAGGAAGAGGTGGGGGAGCTATAAATTAGGTTGTCCACCTAATTTTAGGACTTTCAGACAAGAATTCTTCAAACTTGTGAGGTTTCAAGATCGTATTTTCAGTTTCCTACTTGCAAACCTGTCTAGGCATCAGGATCCTGATTTCAGAGGTGGCAAAAGAACAGTCAAAGTAATGTCAGATTTCATCAAATGAGGTTTTAGGATCTGATCTTGGTTAATCCTGGTTCCACATGGTTAAAGTTGACCTCATATTCAATATTGAATCTGAGGGGCTAGTGGTCCATTCGTTGATTTCACAGGTTGCAAAGCCTTGGCAGAGGTTAAAAACCATTTGGACCATGGGGCACACTCAAGGGATGAGGGTTGCAGGGTTTTCTTTTGGTCACCTACTTCCAGATGATGAAAGTTGAACATCTTTTCGGTACCGTATGAACATCCTGGACGGTAGTAGTTGACTCTTGATTTTACAGGCAACAAAGCTTTGGCAGGGGTATAAACCATTAGGACTGAAGTGAACATTGTCCAATTCCAGATGGCTTAAGCCCCTTTCACACCATCCTTCTGCAAAAGTGGAGTGGCAGAGGCGTAGCGTACTGGTTTATGTTAGTACGGCTACTGAGTGCAAAGTGGCCGACAATCTATGTTGTGATTGAGCAACTGAGTATGACTTGCTCAACCCCCCCAAAAAAAGACCGATTTTTACTCCAGCTTGAAACTTCAAGTTTGAGACTGAGTGACTTCACCAAGTAATGATGCGATTTTGCCAGAGTAACTTGGGACTTGAATGTATGACTTGAGAAGTCTGGTTTATTCCTACCTGTGCTTCCAGGAGGAGAAGGAGATGCTGTTCAGGAGCGGCGACAGCAGTGGTGGGGACGGAGGCGGTGGCAAAAGGGTGAAGCCCCCCATTCGGGACGAGCATGGCAAAATCCGCATCCGGGGGGCCCTGCTGCGCACTTATGTCTTCAACATCATCTTCAAGACCCTCTTCGAGGTGGGGTTCATCTTGGGGCAGTATTTCCTGTATGGCTTCCAGCTGCAGCCCTTGTACAAGTGCGCCCGCTGGCCCTGCCCCAACACGGTGGACTGCTTCATCTCACGGCCCACAGAGAAGACCATCTTCATCATTTTCATGTTGGTGGTGGCCTGCGTTTCGCTTTTCCTCAATCTACTGGAGATCTACCACCTGGGTTGGAAGAAACTCAAGCAGGGCATGACCAACGGAGCCGTGTTGCAACAGGAGTCAATGCGGCGACCCGCCGGTAGCAACGCCAGAGAGCCGCAGTGCTCGGCCCCCAGGACCGCGAGCGGCTACCCCAGCAAGTACACGGACGTGACGGCCGGCAGCGCGGCCTTCCTGCCCCGGGCAGAGTTTAAGATGGACAACTTGCAGCAGGAGGAGGCCCTCCGCCAACATGGGCCCGCCGCCCACTACTACATCAGCAACAATAACAACCATCGGCTGGCCGCCCAGCAGAACTGGGCCAACCTGGCCACGGAGCAGCAGACTCGGGAGATGAAAACCACCTCCCCCACGCTCTCCTCCTCCTCCTCTTCTTCCTCCTCCTCATCCAACCAGCCACCCGTGGTGGGCACCGCCCCCAGTGCCACCCCCAGGTCAACGGGTACCAGTCCTAGTGCCCGCAGCAGCCCAGGCTCCAAGGTCAACGAGTCGGATAATAGCCGCTTCACCACAACCACGGTGGAGATGCACAAGCCCCCCGTGACTGCTGCACTGGACCCCCGGCGGCTGAGTAGGGCCAGCAAGAGCAGCAGCGTAAGGGCCAGACCCGATGACTTGGCGGTATGAGCCCCACTCTGGACCCGTGAACCCCAGAAAGCATAGCTTCCACAAACCAAAATGATACCGAAAGGTGGTGGTAGACTTCAGATGATGATTCAGTGACCAAGCCCCTTTTCACACCCAGTTTCCGAATTCACCCATCAGAGGCGTAACGTAACGATAGAGCGGGCATTTATTAGCCTGTTTTTAGAACCCACCAAAACCATGATGTGGGTTCATTTGGCACCTGCTGAGACCACGAAAGCTGCCAAATTCACGGATTGACTTAGAGCCCGCGCCTCTCGCGCAGACCGCGGTGAAGCAGGACATTGACGAATGTGTGAGCTTTCACACGACAAAATTTGGGTGTTAAACTTGACGTTTCGGTCCCATAATCCCTTTGTGCGCCAATGTGGTTCTGCATCTGATACTACTTTATATACGCTATGGGTACCTTTCACACGGGACAGTGACGACCCGGGAAAAAGCCAGCTTTGATGTTTCGTGTGAAAGGGGCTGTGGACTCTTTCGGGGAAGATCTAGTTGTGTTTTTTCTTCTATTTGCTGCACTGAATAGACTCCGGTGTGTGTGCCCGGTTTTAAACTGGTACCCACAATGCACTGCAGTGTCTAGTTGGCTTCATTCATGACCTTTCAAAGTGTTAAAAAAGAAACAAATAATTTGTCAATTCATGATGGATTACAAAACACTAACATTTTTTTTAATGCAGTCAAGTTGGCTTCAATCACAACCTACCCTAACACACACACACACAAAAAAAAAAAACAACACTGAATGAATTCCAGCCATGTACGCATTTGGCTTCATTCATGACTTCCAGAAGTTCCAAATAAAATCCCCCAAAAAACACCATACACTTCTTTTTTGAACGCGCCACACATTTGTGCTCAAAAACGACAAAACATCTCAATTTGTGATGGGAAAACTAAACCAAAAGCGAACATTTTAAGGCCAAATCTAGTCAAGCTGCCTTTATTCACAACTTGTCAAACTACAACCACACAAAAATCAATACAGTGAATTTTACTCACAGATGACATACTTGTCAGTTTCTAACAGGAAAAAAAAATCTAAATTCTAACATTTTGCAATAAGAATAAAGCCAAGTTAACTCACAAAGTGCAAAAAAAGCCCAAAGCAAAACAAACAACATTCGCCCAAGACTTACGGCTGCAAACTGTCATTCGAGCATTATGACCAAAGCGCCATCTATCAAGCGCGATCATCAAAGCGCTATTTGTCACTCGCTATCATCTTCAGGGGCTTTTTCACAAAAAGATGGTACTGTATGTGTTCATTACTCTTTTTCATGTGGTGAAAATGACAAAAAAAAAATCTGAAAGTATTTTGCATTTTTTTTCCTTCCAGTTTACATTTTAGTAGTTGATTTGCACATGTAGGAAGCAAAATGCTAACATTGCTAGAATGAGAGAGCGCGTCCTCTAAGGAACATAAAATCTTTTTTTTTTTAAATGTCTTAACATCTGCTCACACCAAAGGCAGAGTTTTAAAGAAATTTGAAAAGATTAAAAAAAAGTAAAAATTAAAAGTTATTTATCTTATGAAGACAAGAGAAGGATGTTGGTGTGTGTGTGCGTGCGTGTTGTGCGTGCGTGCGCGAATGATCCTTTTGTAAAGTTGATGTAAATGTTCATTTACCTCAAATGTTTACAAAACTGTTACTAAATAAAACTTTTTTTGTACGGCAGTTGTCTTGTTTTGTCTGCTCAAATGTCCACTAAAAGGATTTCATAGTTGTGGTTACTTCTTTTGACTTGTGTGATGAGGGGCCAGACCAATAAATTCGACTCGACTTTTTGCGTGGCCTAGCAGTTGATTGCATCATCCAGTTATTTCAAATATTTGGAAAAGCAATATTTTTGGACCTAGCCGACAAGGGTGGGGGGAGTTTACAGTGACTGACTTCCATCTGACATGTGGCACGGTAACCCGCACGCGGGTCCGGAGTGGGGGGGGGGGGGGTATGCAGTGGCTGCGGAGTGACGGGAGACGAGCTCGTCACCCGTCACTCGCCTCATGCGTGTCAATGCTTCACACGCCACATTGGGACCCTGCTTGACAGCCATTAAAATACGCAAAATATTATTTTACCACGAAATTGGATCCAGAATACGCACAAAATTTAACATTAAAAAAAGATATAGATCTGAGAATCTTAAAAGCGTACATGCCATAAATGTATTTTTTAATGGGACAGTGTAAGTTAGAAAGGGAGCTTGACTTGAGAACTGTCTCTGCGCCCGCCCCATTTGCACAGGTCCCCAACAAAACACGCACCCGTTGGTCTTTGAAAACTGATTGGGGAATCTCGAAATCATGCATCCATGTATTTGTATGGGACAGCAGGGATAGTGTTCAAGGAGCGGTTTGAAACAGTCGAGAACATTTCTGAAGCGTTTCACAGACGGATGACAAATTTTCCCATAGCAAGGAACAACCTGGTAAGGCAGCTTTAGTTTCACGACTTCAAAAACATAACCATGACATACATGATCATTTTCACCAACCGACGACGACGTCAATGTGGATTGAGAGACATTTCAGCAAACCCGATCGGAACGTTTGCTTTTCGGTAAAGAAAATCTTCACTTACGACAACTTGGTATGGTAAAGACATTTCTCCCACCCTCCGCCCCCAATTTTCACTTGAAACGGTGACCTGTAAAGACAATTTTGAAAATGGTCACTTCGAGATGACAACCTGGTCGAGACATGTTTGATCAAGAAGATGTGTTTTAACCTTTCCATTTTTAACCCCACCGATCGCTACTTCACTCCGACGAGCAAGTATTCACATGACGGCCTGTCTCGCCCGTGTTGAGGTTTGGAGGTTGTTCTGCACTCCTGGAAAAGTTTGTCACTGAAGTGTCCAGAGCAGAGCCAGGGGGTTATTTTTAGCCTTTAATCACCTAACAAATTCACACTCTGCCCACAGGACAAATACCTTACACCCCCTTCGCCCTCCCCCACACCCGCACAACCTTTGTGTATTTCAGGGGGTGTGATGACTTCGTTCCTCTTGCGGTCTGTTTTATGTACCAAACTTGTTCACAATACAGGAAATATACCCATTTAAATAAAAGTGAGGAAAAAAAAAGGACTCATCATCCCACAGCCGTCTGGCCAGCATACATTTTCGGATTTAAATATATAAAATATGGCTAATATTGTAAAAATGTAATTGTATGAATGAAGGCATTTCTATGGTGGCCCTGAAGTGCAAAACACAACAGAACAGCAAATGGGGCGGGGGAGCAAAAACAAACAGCATTTCAAAAAAATACATTAAATTAAAAAAAATAAAACAAAAATATACTGGTAAACGCAAAAAATATTGTTCATGTATGTCCACTGATGTAACATTACTGTTAAGTCATTTGTGTTCACTGTCGTACTCTGGATGAGGGGTGGGGGTGTACGCAGTTGGGGGCTTGAAAAAGCTCTTTGGGGACACTGACAGGTCAAGCTAGGACGTGGGGTTCAAGCCCACAATGCACCAGGGCTGACCTGGACACACAAGCAGACCATTGGTCACAGCGTAGCTAGCTTGGGACAGGTGTGCGATTGCTTTCCTCACCTCAAATATATGGACATTCCGAATTACTGGACATTTTCCGTTAATATCCAATTGGACATCGGAAAATCAAAGAATTTAGCTTCTCAACAGATGCGACATCAATCAAACGACAATGTGTGGCAACGCCGGAACAGGTATGCTATTACTTTTCTCTGCTCAATTACTTATCTTCCGATATATTTAACATTAACAGCATAATTTGTCAATGACTGTCATGTCAATCAAAAGACAAAAAATTAAAATTCTGAAGAGCGTGCATTAGTGCCGCCATTTCTCAACCGGTATTACGTCAATCAAAGAACATTTTAAAAGAAAAAGAGCACTATATTGTACCTAAAAAAAGTAAAGACATTGGTTTGGTTAGTAATTCCCCTAAGCATGTATGTAATATTCATGTGTTCGATGTGGGCCTTTAAGGGGTGTGATCTCAAGAGTAACCGTGGGAAACTGGAGTCTGACTCACCCCAAGAGAATATTCTCATTTTGCATTTTTGTGTTTGACCGCTTCTATTTATTTAGTCTAATAAATAGCTGAAAGTGTGTCGGCCAACATCTTCAACAGCCCACCCTCATCCATCCCCAAGCCCTGCCGCCCAGTTCGGGGGCTGCCATTGCGTCATTAAAGCGCCACATTGGTTAATATCACATGATCGAGGAGGCCGGGTGGGCTGCCTATAGTCTCCCTCCCCCCCGACCCGCACACGCCGCCCATGCTGAGTGCAGCGCTTTCTTTGTGGCCCCTGAAAGGCTTGTGGATTGAGCCCGAACAATAAAAATGAATAGGACAAGTTACTGGAGTCTGGCCAACAATGACAAAATAAGGCTTTAGTCACCCTTTTTGGTACCTACAGCCATCCATATTTTGGAGGACTAGGGCAAGGCGTATATAGAGAAATAAGTCACATTTCAACAAGCCAGATGCCTTCAATGTGATCAAGTGAAAGCAACACAGCCAGACACCGCTACCCACCTCCATCGTGCACCGAGGAGCTGGGGTTAGAGTTCATAGTGCCAACACATCGCCCCCTACCGGAGAGAAATGTGCAAAACAAGAAGCTGTGTTGCTCTAAGCTTGACTGTTCAAATTGCAGAATTTGAGTTGAATATTTACATATTGCCCCCAAGATGAATTAACAGGAGAGACGGACGCTTCACTTAATTTGCTGATTGGCACCAGACACCTGTGCAGTCATAAACATGTAAAAACCAAACGTGAATGACCAGTTTGTTTCAGGGTGACAAAACAACAGTGACAAGATGCAACTATCACTTTGGAAGTACAGTACAACGAAAATTACCTGGTTCGACTAATCCAAGTCGATTCAAGATCTGATGGGTTTCTTCTTCCTGTAGCTAACATTCAAAGAAACAAGTGTGAAAAATCATTATGAACTTCAATACAACTTTTCAAAATGAACCCGTTTTGTTAAATTGTTGCACTCTTCTCTTTCGTTTCAAATAAAAACAAGTGAGTCGTGCGGTTAGAAAAAAAAAAGTCATTTATTGAACACGAGCACACCAGCGGATGAGTGTGCGCGCACTCACACACATTCATATTTACACACCGAGGCACATTCACACCCGAGTCAGCGGCGACACCTGGGTTGGCACTGAGGCCGCCCCGACGGGCTCGCTTAAAGGTTTTTCCATTTGAGTCCGGTACTGCGGCGCAAACCCAACCGGCGTCCCTGTAGGCGGACCGAAGAGTCGTCAACTCAGAAAAAAGATGCTCCACTCATCACCGCAATTCATCCAAATGAAGCTCGACGGCCATCTTTTAAACCAGGCAAATACAGGAAGTAGCAATACGAATTTGAAGTCATTTTCATGGCAAATCCTTTCAACGTAAACCTGAGTTTAGTTTTTTTTTTTTGGGCGGGGGGTGGGGGTGAGAAACCAAATGAAGAATAAAAAGAAATAACTGACATAGAAAAACCAAAGCAACAAGCTCGTTCTTCATGTTGTATTGTGGAGCATCTGCTTATTTTCTTTTAAACGAGCGTTTTGGAAAAGAAGAAAAAGTACAAAAAAGGTCACAGAGGAAAAACAAGAAGAAATAAATATGCTTTTAAAAAAATATGGTGGGTATTTTTTTTTTTGTCCCTTTTGTGACTAGCCCAGTTCATACCACTCCTCCTCGTCGAAGAGACGCCATCAAAACAATCCGACCCTAGTTAGCGTGCGACACTACATCCATGTAACTGGGACACATAATTCACTGCGTAGCTTGTTAGCCTAGCATAGCCTGCGAAGAAATGCAGTGATGTCGTTTGGGAAGATCATTGTGGCTGCTTTCAAACTAGTCGTTTTGTATTTGTTGGGGAGCATTAGCACCTAATGTTTGATAGGATAACGGATGTTTTTGGGACTTTTTCTGCCAAAAGCATTTTTATTTCCAAATTTAGGGGGGGGGGGTGTTTCAATGGTGTTAAACATTCAAACGACAATGTGCACTAAAAATTCAGAATACAGGTGTGGTGTGACTTTGCTCAGTTCAAATATTGATGTTCTGAATGTTTAAACTATCCACAGAAATCAAATGAACTGCCAAACATTTAAACGGCACATAATAACGGCTCCATTTCTCCACAAAGGAAAAGTAACATCAAAGGTCAAAAGTACATCTAGTTTGGAATGGGTGCGGTATACGTTTGCTCGCGATGAGTTTGTACGTTTATAATAACGGCATCATTTTTCTACAGATTTGATGCCAACCAAAGGGCAAAATGTACATCTAGCTGAGAATGGGTCTTACTTTTCTCAACGTGAATACACGTATATTTCAAAATAATGGAATTTTCCGTAGAACGGCAAATTCATCACCAAAAGATTAAGCAAGCCATATTATTTCCATTTTTCAACAAATGCCACTTCAAATGACCAATGCGTGGCTAGGTCATGAGTGCGCCATTATTTTACGAAAAATTTGTATGGTCCAAAGTACTGGACCTTTATTGCAAACAAAGCACTCCCCCAAAAATGCATGTATTTCAAAATTTTGTGAAGTTTAAAATAGAAATGTTTAAACAGCGTGTAATAGCTGCTGCAGTCCTCAACGGATGCGACTTACTTGACAAAATGTGTGGCTTGTTTGGAACGGGTGTGCCATTACTTTTCTCAGCCCAAATACTTGACAAGCAGGTGGGCTAACAGCTACAATGGAAAATGTATACATCTATGAAAATTAAAAAAATATAATTAACCATAAAGAAAAGCGATGACATCCCTCAACACTTGACAAGATCATCAGGGCAAGTGTGCTTTTACTTTTTTCTGCCCAAATATTTGCACGTTTCAAGCTATTGTGCAAATATGGCAATGCTGGAAAACCCACGAATCGCTAAGGGAAATAAGCAATGTCATTTTTTTTTTCAACGGATGTGACGTCAACCAGAAAGCAAAATCTACATCCAGTTCGGAATAGTCGTGCTATGGCCAAATATTTGAAGTTCCAAGCCACTGGGCAAACAGCATTGCTGGATAGAGCAGGTCGCTCTGCAACTTCAACACGTGTACATAATCGTGGTGTCATTCTTTGACGGATGTGACAAAGCATAGAAGGGTGGCTAGTTCAGAATGGGTGTCGTGTGATTTATCATGATCGGTTCACTATTACTTTTCTGAGCACAAATTATTTTGATGTTTTAAATATTGGACTTTTCTGCATCAAAAAAAAAAAAAAAAAAAGCAAACAAAACAAAAAGAGCACGTAGTTCTAGATTTTGTGAAGTTCCACAGGCGCGTAATAGTAGTGCCATTTCTCCAATGGATGCGCCGTAAATTAAAGGACATCGTTTTTGGCTACTTATGGATAGGTGTGTTCTTTTTCTCGGCCCAAAGACTTGTCCTTTCCGAAATATTGGACTTTTTCTACAGAAAAAAAAAAAAAAAATCACGCACCTCCAAAAAGCTTCAACGGCTGTGATGTCAAAGGATAAAAAGTGTGGCAACTTCAGCACAGGTGTGCCATTTCATTTCTCTGGCCTTCCGAAATAAGTGTTTTTTTCCCTGGAGATAATAGCATCACTCCGATGTCCAATGAAAAGCATGCATATACTTGGGAGAAAAAGAAAAAAAGAATGGTATGTTAAGGCGAGAGCTAAAACGCTCCCAGCTTTTGTCGTGATTGTCTTTTTCAAAGCAACAATGAGGCAGGTCTGCCTGAACTAATGCTCCAAACGACATCACCGGCATTTAAATCGGGCTTGGCGGCATATATCGGGATCATGAGTGGGCTAAAACATTCCATAACTGTCTGGATGCAGCCCCACCCGCCCCCGAAACAATCGCAGAAAACCAACGCCCAACCCCTCCCTTAGTTTTTCTCATCGCGGGAGGCGTCTCGTGGAGCTCCGCAGTAGGAATGGAGGAGGTTTACATGAGAAAATGTTGGAAGAGCTACTCACTATGGCCTTCCTGCGGATCTACTAACAATCTACGCGTCCAAACCAGACGTGCTACTCGGCGCCACCTTCCTCTTCCGCTTGCTCCTGCGAGTCCGTGTAAATGTCCCGCACCAGCAGCATTCTGGCGAGCAGGCTCTCCAGCGTGTGGTGCTCTAACGGCGTGGTGGTGAACCAGGCGCCGCCGTCCCCGTCCCAAGCAGGATCGGGCCGGGCGTAGAAGAAGTCCGAGCGCTCCAGCAACAACGCGGGGCTGCGGGTCAAGGAGAAATGACAAGACGGCAGTTACAAAAGTGCTGGCGGTGTGATTCGGCGACGTTGCGGCTAAGCGGGAGAGGAGGTCCTCATCATTCAACGGTCATCACTGAAGATTCAGGATGTGAACAGCATGGAGTTATAATCACAGGACATCCACTTCCAAAATTTCACAGGGACATTACAGCAAACCCCATTTATACAGACCGACCTGCTATAGGTGAAAATCTGCCATATTCTGTCAGTCCGCATGTTCACAATGTACGAAGATACATTTTCTTCGAACATCAAACCAAATTAACTGATGAATCGGCCTGAACAAAACCCAGCAAAGCAGGATACACAACATACCACTTGGAGCGATAGAGCTGGAAAAGGTGTCGCTCTTGCTCCGTGACGGGACCAAGTGATCCTGTGTTGTCGTCATCTTCACAGTCCTGATGGTCCCGCTTCCTCTTGCGAGACTCCTTTTCAACTACGAGGCAAACAAAGCATCGCTTATTCGATGTGCTTAACTGTGTAGACAGGGGTCACAATCAGCCGCGTTGTGGTGGCCCAGGCAGAACCGGCAGTGTGGCCCTGTATATTCATGATATGATATGATTTTTTTTTTTTTGTGCAGTATAAAAACGCATTTTTAGCATTTGAGATTTTCTGGACTTCAGATCTTGTTCAAGCCGTCCCTTATTGAAGGATTTAAATGTAAAAAAAAAAAAAAACAAAAAACAAAACAATTAACAACTTTGTCACATTTATAGATTTTTTTTTTTTTTATTGGCCCAGTCCAAGTCAACTTTGGGTGGCCCGACACGGTCGCGTAGTGGGCCCTGGCCCACTGTTAACATAAAACGCTGGTAGATTATAGAGTGTACCTTATTCCAGGGGTGGGCAAACTTTAGCTCTCGGGTGCCACATCAGATTTTTAAAAACAGAAAAATGTGCCAGGTATCTTAAAAAAATAAAATAAGAATATAAATGTGAAGTAATTAATCCTTTAAGATTTTTAAATTACTTAAAATGGTTACATTTATAAATAGATTATAATAAATATACAATTCAGAAAAAAATCTGAATGCCGATAAAGTGAAAAATGTTATCAATTAAGGCCTCTTACTACATGCGCAACTCTAAAGCTCATTTCACTCACCCTGAGAGACAGGAGAAGGCACGCGTACGCAAGTGCGACTCTTGCCGGTGGTGACAGGGTGCACGGCGTCCGGGCCGTACACGTTGGCGAAGGACAGGTCCAGGTGCTGCTGGGTGCTACGCAAACGCATGCGCTTGGCGTTCAAGTAGACCAGCGAGCGCAGCAGGACGGCAGGCGTTGTGCTGCCCAGATGCCCGCCCGTCCACAGGCATCGCTCATCCACGCGGCTCCACGGGGAGCCTTTTTCGGGGTGGGGAAGGGATGGTGCGGCGACAAAAACACCAGATATAAACAGTGTGGTCATGTCAAGGAAGTGATTTAATGCAATGGTTCTTAAACTTTTTTTTACACCAATTATTGTGTCAAAAAATATATAAACTCTCAAAGGTCCACAATCATAACCAAAATGATCATAATTCCACCCCACACAACACACTGAGAATAACTGATTAAATGTCGTCCTTTTTTTTTTTTTTGCAGTGAGCGTCTTCATACATCAAAAGCACAATCACAGCGTGTCAGGATGTGAACAGCAAAGAGGTATAATCACAAGACGCTTCTCGCTCGCCGAAATGCTAACTTTTCTAATTTAACTTGAGCCTATTTGCCAACACATGACTCAGCCAGAACACAATCATAGTTGTCTTATTATGGAAAATCAAATTCTAATATTTGTTGCCCAGAGGTTCAATCAAGTTAGTTACACGCGTTAGGCGCGTTTTAGCTGAGCCATGTTTTTGTTCTCCTGTCATGAACTTCCTGCAATTTGCACGTCAAGTCGATTTCCTTAAAAATTAAGCCGTGAAGACAACATGAATTTCCCACATCTTTTTGCATCAGTTTGTGTCCAACAAACATTGACTTGTGTTTTCACGGAAACATGTTTGTATTCCACCAACATTAACCATCTAAATTTGTGTAAATGAGAGATTAACTTTAAATATCTGTTCATGCAGTCATTTAGTCTTCTACTAGCATTAACTCATTTGTGTTTCAGCCAAGTCAGGTTTGTGTCCGGCAATCGATTTGCTACATTTGTGTGGTACCAATACCATTTATTCATCCCTGTTGGCTAAAACACAAATGCATTAAGTTACTGTTTGTGGAAACAAAAAAATGGCTTTGCTCCGCGCTCATTATGTCTTTCTACTCACCATCAAGAAGCTGGCTGGGCTTCCAGTCCTTCAGCACCTTGTTGAGCTCCTCCCCGAATTCCTGGTAGCAGGAGTCACTGAAGATGTCACTCTGTTGGCCATTGGCGTGAAGATGCTAAAAAAAAAAAAAAAAAAAAAAAAAAAAGACAGCCCCAAAACCCAATGTTTTTTTTTCCATTCACAAAATGGTCGAAGAATGTGCACGTAAGGTTTGTGTCCTCATATTCAAATGATCAGCACTGTAGTCAGGATGTGAACAGCAAATTGTTTAAATCACAGGACACAAAAAAAAAAACATTTTAAAAGTATAAAAAAAGAGTTCTTTTTTTTTCTTTCTAAAGTAGATCAAACAAAAGACACGACAAAAGCACAGAGGATCCCGATTCAAAAGTGCTAAGAATAGTACAATGTTGACTTTCAAAAAGATGTCAAAATGACATAGTTTTCCACTTACGTGCCAGTGTCTAAGTGCAGAAGAGCGAACAATGTGGCCATGCTGGGAGTTACTGTGGTAACATGTGCAGCAGTAGGAAGTGGGAAGACCTTTGCACAAGTCAAATATGTCCCCTAGGAAACACTCCCTGCTCAACTGCTGGTTCCTAGCCCCAAAATGGCAGGAATTCTGCAAGCTTCAGATTTATTTGAAGCAAACTGTCCTTGACAACATTTAACTATGAATTCACAAAATGTATTTTGGAGTATAAAAACAATTTTTTATACATTTTAACTATTGTTTAATGAGGGCTGGGGGGGCTTAAAAAAAAAAAAAAACCCGGGACAGATTCATGTTTGCCACGGTTACAACACCTTCTCTTTTAACAACATTCAATAAACCTAAACTAGCCAATTCAAACTATACTTTACAACAATCTGATCAAGAATATCGATATCAGTTGATAACTTGCATTTTACGCAAAATATTTGATTCACTGTCATGTCAGAATTTGTGCGATCTGAGACTGTGAGCCTACACAGGGCAGACATGGTAACCAAATTCATGTTGCCACGTGAAAGTGAGAAAAAGCCAACCTTTTGGATGCCGAGGCAGAGGTAGAAAATGCTGTCTGGGGCGTATCGATCTCCATTGGGCCGGCACACCTCCCTTACGAAGCCGCAGAGCTTGTTGTTCAACTCGTCGGCGCACATTTTCAGCACATCGTTCCTTGTTGGATTCACCGGAGCTGGTTCGGATGCTTGTGGGTCCGCTGCGGAGCCCATCCAGTGCCTGAAGGCATTGACGCCGTAGCGAGCTATCAAGGGCGGAGAGCGAACCGACGAGGTTCTGACCAAGTTGCGTTCCGCCGCCAGCCTCTTGCTCCCCTGTGACACAAAAAGGGTCAGAAAAATCGCTTTCAAAGTTTCAAATAACTTACATGGGAGTTAATGGCAATACATGGGAATGTATGGAAACACACCAGGAATTTGCAAAACTGAAGCTTGGTTCTAAAGCAAAAATTTAGCATGATCCTGCCCGAAAAGACTAGATTCGCGACTCAAAAGATGTAGGGCATTTGGCATTGTGATCACTAAACATTAATGTGCATACTCGTGTCCTTGGTTGAGGTCGTGACGCACGCTCCTCCTGCTTCTCCCCCTCCTCTGGGACTGACGCCGAAGCTGAGGAAGAGAACGTCATGAGACAGAGAATGAATGACGCAGCGTCTTGAGTGCAACAATGAGTAAGCGGGGCCCGCGGTGAAAAACTACAAGCACGCCTTGGTGCCACACAACCACCTGGATTACAGTAATGCAGCCCTACAGGGCGGTCCTTCATTGTTGTATACACGGCAAGTTTACGTGGTGTGACCGTCACAAATGATTTACCTTGGGCGAAGTCCTCCTCCAGGTCCATGTAGCTTCCTTCCTCTTCCTCTTCCGTCACCTCCTCCTCTTTCTTCAGGTCCACATCACCTTCCTTCTTCACCTCCTTCTGCTCCTCTAGGCTGGTGGTGATCATCTCCTCATCTTCACGCTCACTTGCCTCCTTCTCGAGCTTCACGTCTGAGACAGGCAGCTCTTTCACATTAGTCATTTTAAAGTGGGGTACACACACAGCACAAATCAAGCTCAATTTGAGCATTTCTTTTCCTCTCTTGTGAGCTAAGCTAGCAAAGGTGCGACTGTCGGATGTGTGGTGTGTTGTGTGTGACTATCCTGTGGTATAGAGGATATGGTAATAGTGATTACCATATCCTAGGGTGTGAGTTCTCTTCCCCAATCTGTTCAGAAAACAGTTGAAGCCAATAATCAAAAATTTTCAACATTTACCATTACTATATTTAATATATACTCCACACCCAAGAGAAAGCGTCCCATTTTGGGCATAGGAACGCTACCTGCTTTTTGGTCCTCGGATGTCACCTCCGTTGGGGACGGCGGGTCCTCCTGGGCGGCGACGGGGGCCGAGGGCGTCTTACTTCTCAGCTCCTGGATGGTTTGGACGATCTGCTCGGTGCTCTGCAGGGTGGTGGGCAGGAAGACTGGCACGGGGAGCTGGCAGAGGTGGGGGAGGGTGTGCAGATTAGTTAACCAAACCATACATGCCAATACGAGCTCCAAATCCAGTTGAGGTGTATAAATTATTTTGTACTTCCCGTTTTGAGTAATCGTCAACCATTAGACGTGGGCAGGAGTTGGATCAATGTTTCGTTTAAGTGTGCTGTATATATTAAGCAAGATTTCTGGTAACACGGTAAACACGACCCACCACTACTAGTAATACTTGTAAGTTGACGTCTTACTGGTAGAGGCATTGAGAGAGGCGTGGGCGTCAGCTGCGAGTACATGTTCATGGGCATGGGGATGAAGACGGGCACGGGGATGGGGACGGGAACATACTCCCGCTTCACTCCGTCGTCCACGTCTGCGTTGACACAGAAGCTCAATTCTTGATGGACAGCCATCACATCAGGTGTGCCCAGAGAGTGTCCGCAGGGGTAATACTCACCCGTCTGTATGGGCTTGCTCTGCATGTGTGGCTTGCAGTAGGTGGCCTTGGTGAGGGTGAGCGGCTTGCAGAGGACTGCCTTGTTTTTGACGTCCCTCATCAGGCCACCGCCTGTGTATGCCGCCGTGCTCTGGCTCACTAGCTGCAACGTGGGAGAAGGAAGTTTAGGAGTATGACAATATGACTGAATCAGACTACATTCTCAAACCATTACTCACCCCAAGTTTGGAAGTTTGTGATTCAATGCCTGTAACGAAACGTGAAATAGTTGGTGACACAAAAATGTCTGATTCCAAACAAAGGGGCGGATTTCCTTGTGCCTTTTCAGGCATGGCATCTTAAGATCTTTTCAATGGGTCTTCTTATGACAGGAATGTTTCCCAAATCTTATGTTGCGAGGTTAACTGAGCTATAGGGGCTAAATTATCAAAGAGATTCATAAGACAGACCCCCTGAAAATGACCAGGATGAGGCAACAGACATGTCTATTAAATTTCACGTGAGGTAAAACGGGCTTTGGGGGGGTGACTTTTCCTTGAGATTCAAAAGACCGCTGGAAATGGGCAAGATGAGCCTAAAATGGTTGTCCCAAATCACAATTACTTTTTTTTGGGGGGGGTCCTACTAATGGTAAGCATGGTTAATAATTTTCCTGTTGCTCAGTGAAACAGTCTTAGGGGGCTTCATTTTCAAAGAATTGATTGCCAGGACCACTAGAAATGGCCACATGAGGCGTAAAATGTCCACTTCAAAACACAAATGGCACCGGAGGAGCGAGAATCTGTGCTTTAAACAGTTGGCGTGTGGTGTTCATGCATACCCGTGCAACTGTTCTCAGGGCCTTTCTGTGTGGCCATGATGGGCTCGTTTTGCTGGCAATAGAACCTGAGCAGACATTGTTGGTCGCAGAATTGCTTCATCTCCGAGCGCCACATCACAGACTCAGTCAGCTGGCCCTGAACCTTGCAGCAGTCGCAGCGCGCCGCCTAGTGGACACACAGAGACACTCATTTGTTTCCACATACAATTACAGATCATTTTTGTGATTGGAATTAACATCGGCTGATCTCACTCATGCAAGACAGAATTGAAATCAGCTGCATAAAACCGTGATCGGAACGCCCCAGTTAACACCTTTCCCCCGCGAAACGGACCTTGTGGTACCAGTCGTGGAACTTCTTGGCACAAGCCTCGCCGCAGAAGTCCCGCGTCATGCCGCCGAGCTGGCGCGTGACACTTCTCTTGCACATCTGGCTGCAGTGGTTGCAGCTGACGCACTTGAGGCCCAGACGCTTGATGAAGTCCTGCTTGAAAAGCAGCTTGCAACCTGGAACACAAAACGCAGTCAAGATGGAGCACGGCTTAATAAAAAAATAATAAAATTTAAAAAGGGGGGGGGGGGGGCAGTGAGAAAGGGGGTGGACGTCTGCGTTACCTTCACTGCAGAAGGGCTTCTTCTCGCCCGAGAAGTTGGCGGTGGTGTGCAGCGTCTTCTCCTCCTGGCAGAACTCGCACACGGTGACGATGCAATGCAGCTTCTTGTAGTCATCACAGCACACCTTGCTGCAGAAGTGGTACACTTTGTCCTGGGGGAAACACCGACACAGGTCAGGGGCAGAGGTCAGCCTTGCACGCACATGACGCCACTCAGCGGGCCTCCAAGTTTATAATTCATAAATAATCTTGTATTAATACATACGTCATGGAAAACCACAATTTTCACCCAAGTGATGAAATGGAAACCAAGGGAAATGTGCAGCCTTCCCACGTAAACATCAGCAGTTAAACTGCAAGTAACTACCTGGCATCCATCGGACGAAAGCCGCAAGTGCCATCTTTTGATCATACACATTTGCAAGTCGCAATGATGTTGATGCCGGATGGCGCCGCATAACTTTCAACATTTTTATATACATTTTAAGGCGTATACATTATTCCTCAGGGGTCCATTTTCGTAGGTTCACCACCTTATTTAATATTGCTCTACATTTGTTCTACTTTTGAATAAACAATTATAATAAGACTGAAGCGTCCCAACTGACCTCCCACTCCAGCGTCTCTGGCTTGACGCTGAACGCCCCCTTGCAGTAGTTGCACTTGAGCTGCACCATGTTGTTGTTGTTGGTGGACAGCGTCGTCTGTCCATTGGTGGCCGTCTGGAGGGAGGTGTTCTGTAAGAATGACCGCCAGTTTAAAAAAAATAAACAAAAAACGCACCCCCCCCCCCCAAAAAAAATAATGCTGAAAGACAACCAAGTGAGCTTGTACCTGGAACTTTGTGACACACTGCGAGCTGCAGAAGTTCAGGACGATTCCCTCGGGCAGGGTTGCCTGGTACTGCGGTAAAGCGTTTCTCTTGCAGAAGTGACACGATGGCTCCGCGTCTAAACAAAAGACACTCCGTTAGTGTCGAGCTGTTTTTTGAGAACAAAATCACATTGATTTGGATCTTGTGCGTTGTTTTAGTAGCTTTCAACTTCCTGATTTTATCCCCACTTCCTGGATAGGACTCTCAGCCAGAGAGCAGCTTTTTGTGAGCAAATTATTTGGATTTGGATCTTGTGAGACTGTCAGCCTGCATCTCTGTCCATTGTTACTTCGTGGATGTATTCGAAATTCCTTTACAGGGCTCTGAGAGGTCGTGTAGACGAGCTCTTTGTGAACAAAGGGACCCAATTGACTCTCATTGTGATGCATTTGAGTCCCTCTATCAGTCCTGTTATTTTCTCTTGCTCACCTGCGCATTTAGTCATTGTTACTTTGCTAGTTTACTCACGGTGGAAGGCGGTGGCGGCCATCTTGGCCTTGTTCATGCAATTGGTGGAGCAGTAGGAGCCCATGGCGCCGTCGGCACCTAAGCCCAGGACCACCTCGCCTGTCTTGATCAGCGTCTTGCATGTCAGGCAGTTCGCCAGCTTGCTGTGAGCCTAAAGAGGAACATACACAATCAGAAACAAGTTTTTCACTGCTTGGAGGCCAGTTGTGCTTAAACCTTAAAGAGTCTGTACAAACTTGTAATTCCTACATTGTTCACCTACTTTGGATGACCCTCAATTAAAGTTAAAAAGTTCTACGTAAATGTGGTTCGCTTCATTCCAAATCCATTGTGGTTGTTCAGAGCCAAAAATGACAATGTTGTCAATGCCCCAATAGTGAAAGATTTGACTGTATGACAAAATAAATTTATCATAACTATTTCGTCAAAGAATATGCAACTTTTTAATTCTATGGCATTCAGCAGTGGTGGATACGTTTAATTGTCATTGGGATTATGAGGGATCTTCGCATCAAGGTGTTCCTGACCCAAAAAGTTGGAGAACCCCAGCTGTAGGCATCCCAATGCTTGTGGTTGCGCTGCCAAAACTCTTAATATGGTTGGTGGAATGAGCGGCTGTTGCCAGGCAACAAGGACTACACTTGAGCCTTCAACTTGTGGCAACTACCAAATTGTTCAGCTGAGAGCTTGTTCAGGGAAAAACTGAACGAGGAAATGATCGAGTCATCACTGCGCATGTATGAATAAACTAAATTTGACGGCACAAGTTCTTGACTGCAACAATACATCACTGAAATCTCTTTAACCTTGAACAATAAAAATCATCGGCATCGCTAGAAATGATTGGGAACCAAGAAAAAGTCTCGCGCACGCTCATGTAGGCCGACTATCATACGATTCAAACGTCCAGGGTCCCTGGGTTGTCATAACTCATTTTATCATCCTCTTGCCAAAACAACATCTCGAAGTAATCTTTAGAGTGAAATTCAAGAGCACCTGCTTGAAGTCCCTGATGCATTTCTGACAGCAGAAGCGCTTCTGCTGTCCGTCCACCAGCAGGAAGTGGTTGGCGGAGGCCCTGTTGGGCAGGTAGTCCCCGCACTGCTCGCAGCAGTTCATGATGAGCCCGTTGGCTCGGCGGTACACGTTGAAGCACATGTCGCTGCAGATCTTGTGCGTCACCGTCTTGAAGCTCACCTCGTGACGGATCTGCACGCAACAAAGTCTTGTCAATTTCACATCCTGCCCGGTGGGAAATTTGCAGATTTCTACCACCCTATTCAGTCTTGGTATCTTTCACACAGGAGAGGAACCCAAGAAAAAGGCAGGAAAAAAGCTGGCTTTGACAGGCGGTATAAAAAGATCTTGATTACTAACTTGCTACCGTATTTTCACCACCATACAGCGCGCCATATTAAAAGGCGTAGCGTCAGTTACGGGTGCTATTTCTGTATTTAACACATACACAAGACGCATTGTGTTATTGGACGCAGGCGTGATAAAATGTACGTGAGCTTAAAAAATACGGTAGCGTGGATGCACGCTAGTGTATGTTTTTAAAATGGCAGCGGGAACAAAACTGAGTTCGGTTGTACTTTATTGAAGTATTTAACAGTGTACTCACATAAAAAAAATAACAAAAATGAAATAAAATTTCATCTTCACGCTGAAATCCATCAAAGTCCTAATCTTCTAACGTTTGATGTTAGACTTAACCAGTCATTCCATGTCCGTACGTTACACACGGAACAGCAACCCAGGAAAAAGCGGTGTAAAAGATTTTGTCAAAAGGAGCTCACTGACCTCAGTGAGCTTTCCGCAGACGGTGCATTTGGTTTTGAGGCTAGACTTAGGCGGGTTCTGCTTGTTCTCATAGGCGCCCAGGCAGCCAGTGCTGCAGAACTCCTGGAAGGACTCGCTCGAATCCACCTGGGCCACGATGGTACCTTTCATGTTGGTGATGTCCCTGCAGGGTGGGCGGCAATTTAAGTGATGCTAGCAGAGACCCACAAACAATCCCCTCGAGGGCAGCATCAGTTACTGACTTTTTACACATGGTACAGCTTTTCTTGGGTGCGGGTTTGTGCGAGAAGGCGGAGAGGCAGGTGGTGGAGCAAAAGAGGTGCGTCGACCCTTTGCGCTGGTACGCTGTTTGACCTTTCTTCAGAGGCTTCTTACAGTTTGCACACGTCACCTGCAATAAATTGGATAGGAATATCACATAGCACAGGCCGTTAAAGACAATGGAAATACAGGAGATGCAGACTATAAATACGATGTGAATTAGGGCCCGACAGATATCAATGACTTGAGGCCAATGCCAATTCTGATATTTGGTAGGGGGAAAAAAAAATTCTGAACCACTCAATTAGCTGGTTATTTAAAAAATAAAGTCAAGTGACTTGGAGTATCTGCCGATGCAGAGTCGCTCAATACCTCTGCAACAAAATGCAATGAAGAAGAAAAAGACGTTTACGCCCATTCGTAGTCTAGGACAACAAATACGACGTAATTTTGGCATACATATTTCAAGTGCATGTACCATTTAACTATGAGCCAAATGTAGTACATGCAGCAGTACCTTCACCGTTCGTGGCTGCGGCTGGGTGCCCGGCGAGGAAGAGGAAGACTGTCCTGGAGGTTTGGGCAGGGAAGTGGCGGTGGATGAAGAGTCCACCCCCGTTTGCTTTTGGTTGCGAGGCACTGACGCCGACTGGGAGATCCACGAGTCTGCGAAGGGAACAAGAGAAGCCCGCGTCATCTATTTGAACCCTCTATTTCACCACACACCTCAGTTCAAGCAGTCATGATTCCACCGAGCAAGCCCAGTCCAGTTGTTCTGTGTGAAAGGTACCAATGCAGAATGGAAGTGGGGTGGGGGCGGGTGTAGAAGTTGACTTGCAAATTTTCATTTACCTCCTTGGGAACTTGAAAAATTACTGGTAGACTACCTATGCCCTATCTGTACCTTACAGAGACCCAGGGAAAAAAAAACTGCAAAAAAATGTGTTGGGCATTGTGAAAGCAGCTTGCTGTGACTGGGGAAAGACGAACATTTGTGGGTTCAGATTAGCAGTGAATTGTGTGGTGGGCGTATGACTCAACCTGTTCTGTTGTGTGTCCCTGCGTCGCCATTTTGCACCGCAGAACTCCGCCCGGGGTTGAAGGAAGCGCTCGGTCTTTTGGACGTGCCGTCGGGAGTCAGGCTGAAGGCGCTGCCGATCTGCAGACCGTTTTCCTCAGCCGCACCATCCACCGACTGTGGAAAAGGGGGCTCGTGTTACAGAACGTACACGTTTGCCAAACAGTGCATCTGTAACTAGTACAAAGCAACATTTTGCTGAGCCTAATTTACAAGATAATGCCATTTTATTTTCCGTTACTTTGCTCTTGCATTCTCACTCAGTTTTTTTCTGATTTACTAGCTAGCACCCAATCAGAGTGATCAAGTGACACAGATGGCTGACGCCATTTTGGATACTGTGATGGATTGGTCATTCATTTAAATCATATATAAAAAGTACAATGACGCAACACTCAGAGTAAGAACAGGCACTAAAGACAACTTTAAAAAGTTGTAAGTTTAATTGTGGAAGGGGTAAAACTATAAGACAAAAATACCATGTAATACGTCTCTATTTTGCAGCTTTTTGCTGATAGTGAATGGCTCTGAAAGGTACCCCTGCAAAAAATGGGGGTTGACTTAAATTGAAATAATTGCCATCTTACCATTGGCCCTCCCTGCAGCGATGTCACAGAGGTGATCAGCAAGTCGGCTTGGGCATCTTCTGGAAGAGCCCTGGCGCCCCTTTTCTGGCCCAGCGTGGTGACGTTGGCAATGCGTATATCCGAATGTGGTTCCATGGTACTCAGGGCAGAGGGCGAGGAGTCATCCTGCTTCTTCTCAGGCTCTTCCTCATCGTCGATGACGATGGGCTCAGCAGCCGAGGCAGGGTTGGCGGGCTCGGACGCTTCGGGCGTCGCTGCGGCGGGCGGCGTCACCTCCGAGGGCGGCGCCGCCTCAGCTGTGGGCGTCGCCTCGGTGGGTGACATTTGTTGCGTCTCCATGTCAGCGTGGCCCTCCGGACATTCCTTCGAAGGCGGCGGCTCGGGGGCCTGCTCCTCTACCACAACCACGTCGTCGTCCTCCTCGCCGCCGCCCTTCTTTGGTGACTTGTCGTCATCTGTTGCCGCGGTAACCGACTCTGGGGCCTCCACAGTGGGGGTATCCAAGGTGGGCGCCGCCGCGGCCTCCACGTGCTCCCCTGCTGCCGCTGTCCCCGCCGTTGCCACCTCCTCCCCCGGAACAGCAGGGTTGGGTTCTGACACCCCGTCCATCGCTAAGGCAACCACCTGGGAACCCTCCCACCCCGCAAAAAAGGGCAATTAGGTAGAAACCTGTTTTTCCTCTGAGACAATTCGCCCTGAGACCAGCTGCTGCAGACACAGATATGCCAATTTTGAGGACATGTCTGAAAGGGGTTCATCTAACACAACAAATTAATCATATAAGATGAATAATGCTGTGGACTTCAATTCACTGTTCCGTGTCTGCATCTTACACGTGAGCTATGAAAGCATTGCCTTAGATGGCCAGTCTGATTGTGGGAAGATGCACCACAGGCTCTTAAATCTCAGTTCTACCATTATGTACAGATGATTTTAAGGCGCGTGTGTGAAAAGGGGGTTGTGTAATTCCAATTTCTTTCCACCTCTGCTTCGCACTGTAAATCTGTGATACTCCAGCGGAAGCCGACAAACGACTTTCAGAATATGCACAGGCGATGACAAAGTGAGTCTTTGTGCTACCTACAGCCAACGTTGCCAATCTCGTTCCCCTTCTCAACCTGCTCCCCGTGCCATTTTTTTAAACCTCCCTTGTTCCCCTGGTAACCCATGAAGCTACACCTTGGTTGCCATGGTGATAGCAAGGCCCACCACCGGGGACGCACTCTCTTACCTCTACAGCTGGCATGTGTCGTTTTCCTACGCATCAACGGGCTGGTAACAGGGAGGGAAGGATGGGATGTAGTGAATTGGAGGAGGAGGGGTTTGCCTTTCATGTCACGTGCTAACGAGGCTGACGGCGGCAAAAGCTGCTGCATCAAAAGCCGACCCTTAACGCATCACAGGCATGATTAATCGATTGTGTCGCTCGTGCGCTCAGACGTGCCGCCTGGACAGGCCAGCAGTTTGGCGTGAGGCCATTTTGAAGTGAGAAACGATCCTCCATGGAGTTGGGGGGGGGGGGG